CCCACTGGGAGGCATGTCGACCAATCGCAGATAAGGATTCTGTCTCTGGAGCTAAGAGATGCTGAAGCAGACACTACACTTTACTTGTATAAGCTTTTAAATTTGGTGTTATATGGCCACCAAGCAATTTCAAACTACATAGAAGAACTTTCTTGTGTGGTGACTTTTTGGGGGGCTTAGGGGGTGGCAAGGGTCTCATGTAGTCCAGTCTGTCTTCAAATTCACAATGTAGCCAAAGATGACAACAGATTTGTCTTTCTGCATCCACCTTCCAAGTGCCAGAATTACAGGACTGCACTGCTATGCCTGCTTTAGGGAGTTCAGGGAATCGAACCTAGAGCCTTGGGCATGCTAGAGAGGCACTCTCCCAGCTGAGCTGCGTCTCCAGTCCAGTATTCCCTAATAGTGTGCCTCACACCAGAACCTGCACTTCTCAAAGTACCCTACATATTAAAGATTTACGTGTTTCTGGGGTGGAGAGATGGCTCAGCAGTTAAGAAAGGGTACCGAATGCTCTTCCAGAGGACTGGGGTTCAGTTCCCAACACCCACATGACAGCCCACAACTGTCTGTGGCTCCAGTTCCAGGGGTTCTGGCACCTCACACGGACACACATGCAGGCAAAACACCAACGCACGTCAAAATAAATAAATCTTGTTTAAAGATTTGTGTATTTCGCCGTCTGTAAATTGGCAAATATTAAGGTAGTTCTATCCACTCTGGGGTTGAGTGATACCTGATACACACGCAATTACACCGAAAAGATGGAGCATGGAAGGAGAGGAAGACTAAGAGATTGGCAGATACAATGAGGGAAAGACGATCAAGTCCAATGTAGCTGATGGATGCCGGTGTGGCCAGTGCGGGGGCACGAATGTAACAGCCCCATAGGCTCATAGATCTGCTCACCAGGGAGTAACACTATTTCAAAGGATTAGGAGGTGTGGACTTGTTGGCATGAGGGTCCAAAAGCCCATGCCACACCCAGCATCTCTCTCTTCAGCTACAGCTATGGAACCTGCCTGCACGCTGCCAGGCTCCCTTCCCTGATGCTAATGGACCAAACCTCCAGAACCGTAAGCCAGCCCCCAGTCAAATGCTTTCTCTTATATGAGTTGCAGTGGTCATGGCGTCCCCTCCCAGCAACAGAACACTGACTAAACAGTGCAGTGGCTTCTGCCTCTCTGTGGGCTTGAAACCCTTTCTCCAGTTGTTTTGGAAAACACAAAATTGAAAACAAGCTGAAGCATCAATACAGAAAAGAGTAAAACAGCCCTGGGCAGACTACTGCAGTCCGTCAAGGTTGAGGTCCTAGTATCTTTAGGAATAAGGAGTTTTCCAGACCTAATGTCAAGTGGAAGCACCGTGGAAAATCTGTGTGTGTGTGTGTGTGTGTGCGCGCGCGTGCGCGCACATGTGTGTGCGTGCATGCGTGAGTGTGCATCCTATGTGTGCATGCATGTCCATGTGTTCATGTGTGAGCACGTGCATATGTGCGCATGCTTACACCCAGTAATAGTGTAGCACACCCATACATGACTTTCAATACATGGGACACACTGGCCAGCATTCAGTCCTGGTCCTACCCCATGCCATTTGCTAAAACCTTCAGCACTGCATTCAGCTCGCTTGTCAAACAGAAACAAGCGCCGTGCCCTGGCATGTGGGGGAGTATGGTAAGCCCTGCTCAGGGAGGCCCTGGCTAGTTGTTTCTGCTGAACACACTCTGGAGGAGGAAGAGAGAACTGACCTTCCAGAGGGCACAGGGAGGCACAGGGAGGCCTCCTAATACTACGCACACTTGGAATCAGGGACAAAAACAGTTGGTTGATGACGGGGGGACTCTTGTCCCACCAGCAACACCATCCTTCTACACAGTGGTTCAGGGGAGAGGTCTGGGGCCGCTGACTTCCCTCGGTCCCCTTTGCCTGCGGCCTGCATTTCCAGCCCTGTCCCAACCCGTGTGGTGATGGTGGTACTGTTTACTCAGATGGGTTGTCCCTATCTAGCCCTTGCTGACCTTGAACTCACTTTGTAGCCCAGGCTATCCTCAAACTCACAGCAATCCTCCTGCCTCGGTCTCCCAAGTACTGGGATTACAGGTGTACACAACACGAATTTAAAAAAAAAAAAAAGTATAGCACAAGCTGGTCTCAACCTCTTCACCCTCCCGCCTCATCATCTTCCACAAACTGTCGCCTCACAGTGCACAACCCCACCACAACGGACCTGCCCCTGACTGGTACCCATACACCCTGGGGGGAAACACTCAAATAAGACTTCCTCACAGAAGCCCATTCTAACCGCTGGCTTGGGTTGGTTTTCCCCATCGAGTGCCTCTAGCTTCATGTTTTGAGTCTGCTGTTTATTTAATATGTACCGTTAGCTCGCTAGCACCCAGCGCAGTGCCTGAAGCACAGGAGGCTCTAGGCAAACAATGTGCTGCAAATGAATCCCAAGTGTTTAAGAAAGTGATTTCACTCTTTGTGTATTGAAAAGTAAATTGAACGAGGGGCATGAATTAGAACAAAACCTAATGACACACATATGAAAATGCAGAATATAACCCATCGCGCTTTATACTAACTTTCAAAGTTAACAAAAATTAAAATTTGCATATGTAAGAAAGCCTGAAGTCCAATTCATTTCTCTCATAATTTATCTTCAGCTTATTCCTGCTTATTGTCAATAACGCTAGTCTAAATTTATACTTTATTATTTAATATACCAATTAATTCAATTCAACATACCTATTATTTTCTGATTTCTCTAGTACAACTTTCCAATGCATAAGTATTTTTACATAATGTAAGTTAAAATGCAATGAAATGGGCATTACAAGTCGTGTCCACTAAAAAGAAAAGAAAAATAAACAGGAAATAAAGAGGTCAGGGAAGGAGAAACAAGACAAACCCCACTACATCCACACTTGTCCCCGGAACACTATAAAGCTCTGAACGATTGAAGACATGCATAGTGTCTCATGCAGCCAGACTCCTTCCCTGAGGCAGGGAAAGGGAATGGCAGAATTCTCCAGACCCAGCCCGTCCTGCTGCCAGCCTTATGCAGAGCTGGTGTTTGCCTTGCAGGCTGATGCCCTGCTGACAGCTGCTCCATTCGCAGGGTTTCCACGAGGGTCTGGGTGCCTATCCTCTGACGGGAGAAAGTAAGACAGCCGCAGTCATGTGACTGAAGAGATCCAAGCAACCAGCAGGGTCACATCAGCAGTAATCTACCCTTGGAGAATGGTTCCTAGGGTCGTCTCTAGCCCTTCTCCTAACCATTCTGTTCTCAGGGATTCTGTGGACAGGAACTTATTCAAGATCACAATACTTTGCAAGAATTCAACTGGCCAGGTGGCCATATTGCTCACCCCTTCTGCATGAATAAGCTCAAAGGAGAGCAGGCACTCAGTCAGGTTTACCAAGTAGCTGTCACTCAGAGTTGCTCCTTACCCCACGACTAAGACTTCCCTTCCCACAGCCATGCAAAGGTTGCTCGGGACAGACCCCAGCTCAACTCTTCTAGCATTTCCTGAGCCCCGAAGTTGCTTTGCCTCAGGGGCAGACCGCACACATTGACTGATAACTGCAAGGGTTCCAGGCTCTCTGGGAGCAGCTGCACCAGCCAGAGCCCATGCTGAGACTCTATCCCCAGTCTCCAGGTCTCCAGCCTGCTCTGCCATGTCCTTCACCCTCGTGGGTGCTGTACCCGCCGCAGCACTCTGCAGGGAACTCCCCACTCTCACCGCTCTGCCTCAGTCTGTTGCCAGGGAAACCCTCGCCAGAGGAGATACAGCCAGAGACAGAAAGCGGATAACAGCTGAGAAGATGGTTCTACCCAGCACCAAGTACTGGCTAAGTACTAGGTCAGCACTTGCTGGGGCGGATTCCCCGGGGGAAAAGACACATCCGCCGTCTTTTCCTAAGAAGAGGTATTTGAACGGAAGCCTGCTCTCTGCTCCAGAGGAGACCGCTACTGCTGTTCCCCCAAGAGCCCAGGTGTCTGTGAAGGTTGCTGGACCACCTAGAGGAGCTACTCCTGAGACTTGACACAGTCACCGCATTATACCCGTGGTGTCCAGGGCATTCCCAGGCTTGAGCTCTGTCATGGTTTCTCTTTTATCCTGTGAGGTAGAAATGGATTATCCTTAGTCTGCAAAAGAGGAGACTGGGCCATGCAACAGTGAACACCTTTTCCAAGATTAGGAAGCCAACTAGCTCCTCTTGGAGCCACAGACACCATCGCTCAGGTCAGGTAGTGGCCTGCCAGCCCTTCGGCCTTCCCTCTGAACTCAGAGGTTTCCGTGGGCGCTAATCCAAAGCTCTCAAGAGTTGCGTCCATATCTTCTTGGAGCTGGAAAAGTCAGGCTGTGCGCTCTTGACTTGCCTTGCTCTCCTTGTTTAAAGAAAACCATGTGTACGTTTCCTTTGCCAAAGTTAAAGTGGAACCCAAGTTTCACCGGCTTTCGCAGCTGGGCAGAGGGATCAACCTTGGCTGTCTGGTGCCTGTTTGTGTCTATTTCCGGAGCACACCCTGGGGGCTGTCATAAGAAATGTCATCATCCCATAGACAGTACCTACAGGAAGACAGTGCCTCCAGTCAGGGTACCCTAGACTCTCAGAGTCCAGACTTGGGAGGCCCCCATCTGTTCCAATGTCCTACCCCACTTAAACTCTGCCTCTGCTCTGGTTACCCTGACAGCTCCAGCATTGAACACGGATGACCCTGTTCCTTACCAGCAACAGCCACAGAGGAAGCCAGGTGTGTTCAACCACGTAGGGAGAGCCCCTCCCCTCCCCCAGCCCCCGTGATACACACTTCAACCTTCTGCCAAGTGCGTGGAGGATGAGAGCCCAGCCAGCCCCTACAAGGACAAACAGACTCACAGCACACGTGTGCACACAGTCACACACAGGCTGCACCAAGTAAGGAAAACTGCTCTCCCACCCCTCTGGGAAGATGTCCAAAAAGATCAGGCCCTTTCAAGTCCCCAGAGACAGATGAAGAGCCTGCACTTACCGGCCTCCCTCCTGGGGAAGATGGTCCTCGGCAAACTCATGAGCAGGGCGGTGAGGACCAGTGACAGCCTCCCACAGACCACGCGCAAGAGGCACGGGGGGATCCGCAGCTTCTCGGGCTGGGAGCCTTTGAATGGGAGTTACAACTACAAAGTGACTCTCTCTTTAGAACTGTTTTTCCTCGGCAGGGAGGGAGGAAGGGAAAAAAAATCCCTTTCCCACTGCCAGAAAATCTTTAACGTTTCTCAATGGTCGGTCGCTTCCAACTCCGGCCTCCGTGTGAAGCGAGTGTGTATTTCACTGGACTGGAGGGAGCCCTCGGATCCTATGCCTCTTCCCGGACCACAGACAGAAATGCAAAAAAACCTCAGCCTTTCCCGTGGGCTTGGAGAACGCCGTGAGAGGGCAGAACCCAGAGAGGTCCGACATATGGAAAATGTGCCCCACTGTTGGGGCCACCGAATCACTCCAGTCTCTGTGCCCTCCCCTAATGTTTCCAGAGAGTTCTGCTGTGTTTATGTACTTGCATGGGACAAACACAACACCCCAGATCCTAGCCCCACGTTACAGTGATTCATTTTCTCCCTCACACACAAACACAGCGCCTGTTCAATCCAAGTGGGAAACGCCTTTCATAAAGTTGCACAGGGTCTGGGCAGAGTGGCTGATGGTGAATGCAGCCTGTGTCCCCAGAAGGGCAGAGGGGCTCTGGGGAAGGAGGAGGCTGACTTTAATTAAGACAAACAGAAAGCTCTGGGCTCCTGCCCCGTGTCTGGAAAAGGAGGGATCAAAGACCAGGGGTTCCAGGGCACTGTTAAATGCTGTCAGGTTGCTCTGCCCAATTTTCCCTCTTTGCCTCCTTCTACTGGGTAGTACTTTTGGACTTGAACAAGATGTACTGTTAGTTTAAGTGACCAATTTGACTTCTGGCTTAGACAAATCCTTGGATTTCTTCACTGAAAAGACAAAAAGGATACATGGTAAGTGGGCAAACAGAACTGAAAGCGGGGAGGCTCTAAGGGAGGAGGCTCTAAACAGACTCGGGGTCGAAACGGACAACCTGAGACAGACCCTGGTGCAGCTCTCAAATGCCCTGCATCTTCCTAGAAGAGGACCCTATAGCGGTACCCTGAACCCTTTGACCCCTGTCATGCTCCACGAGTAACACACCTACACACACAAATATACCTCAGATTAAGGCTTCTTAATTTTTTTCCCTCATGACCACTTTCCACTCAAAAAATTTTTACATGTCCTTGGGGATATGGGTATTTTAAATAGATACTCAAATCGAAAGTTTATCAACAAATCATAAAGACCTTTATTTTAAGACCATTCTTTGGCATCTCTACAATTTTTGCCATTTATTAAATGAGAAGAATTCTTTATTTTTTACATAAAAGGCTAAGTCTTAGGGGAGTATCTGACTCCGCAGAATGTAGAGTTGGCCATTATTTTGATTTTCTCATCATCAGTACTGAGAACACCGCTTAGCGTCTATATGTAACAAAGTGGTGTAGGGCTATTCAGAAAGGGCTGGAAATTCTGCCCTAACCCCAAGATGAAATACATGTAATACATTTTTAATAAAACTCAAGTCAGCAGCTTACAGCAATTTTTGAGTAACTCATTGAGAATTTCATAGACTATATTTTGATCATATTCACCCCTCACCCCCACCTCCTCCCAGATTCACCATCCCTTCCTTCCCGTCCTCCGATTCTGTGACCTCTCTTCTCTCTTTTTTTAAAATTCATTGAGTCCAATTTGCTCTGCCCAAATTTTCTCTCCACCGAGAGACACCAATTTTCTCTCGGGTGTCTGCGCTCCACTGGATCCATACCTTTAAAGCAAACTGACCGTCTCTCTCTCTCTCTCCTAGCATCCACCAGTTGCCAGTAGCTCCTTAGCTAGGGGTGGACGTGGTGCCCACCTTCCCCCGACCCTGTTGTCGTTTGGTCTGTCTTGAGTAAGTCCTGTGCATGCTGTCACAATGTTTGTGAGTTCGTATGCGCAGCTGCCCTGCTGGGTCTGAAAAACGCTCTTTCCTTGTGGCCATCCACCACCTCCATCTCTGACTTTCTCTCCCCGCTCTTTTTACACTGTCCCCTGGGCCTTTGGAGGGAATTATGATGCAGACGTCCCGTCTAAGGTGGAATATTCCAGTGTCCTCACCTTGGCCAGTGTTTGTCTCACAGACATTGTTTTTGTTTTTGTTTTGTTTTGTTTTAAAATCAAGCATTCTATCAGAACGCAATCCATAAGTTCACAAATTTAATACCTACGTGCTGGGGCATGATGGTAGAAAACTGTTAAGTCTTTGCTATCTGTAACTAGCCCACCACATTTCAGAAACAGAGGAGGAAACTTTGGATACACTGTGCAAACCACTGCCGTTCCTGGCGTAGTCTCGCATCTGAGCAGTGGCTTTGCAGACCGTGTTAACTTGCCTGCGTGGCTGACTTTGTGAGACACAGTGGTAGCGGCTATAAAGCTGTGAGAATCCCTGAGCACAAGCCAGGACTTCCAGGAAAACCTTCAGTTTGGTAAGTGTTGGATTTAAAGGAGATTTTTATCATGGTACATTCAGAATCCTTTCACTCTTGGCAAATTTTCCCAACCCTTGCACTGAGTTCTGTGATCCCCTATGGGGTAGATACCCACAACCAAAGAAGGTGGGTTTAGATCGGCATTGTTTCTCAGAGCAATCATGGGGGGTCCAAGAGAGGCCCCTGCTGTCAGCACCTGAGGTCAGAACAGCTCCCCGGGAGTCACCCTGAGTGAGGGTGGGGACCTAGAACAGGGCTTCTACTGTTATCTGTACTCTGTGCTGATTAAGTAGTGAACGTCCCAGATGCTGGGTCTGTAGGACGCACTAGGAGAGCCTCGCCCTGCCTGCCATTTCCCTGGTCCCCAACTGCAGTGGCCCTGGAAACAGGCTAAATAAACAAGGGAGGTATGGTGGCATTTACAGTCACAGGAAGAGGTCTATGAGATTGTACTAAGTGAGCAAGACCAATTACAAAACAGTATATTGCTCATGTACCTGCATGACGACACAAAATTAAATATGGAGAAGACAAATGGAGTTGCTTTTTAGTTTCGCAAATATTCCTTTGTTTATCCCATGACCCATTACATTAACCCTGCATTCCAGGAACAAGCCATTGTTTCAATCCGTGTCAAATTAATTAAACACATATTCAGGATTGGGAGGAGGATGTTGCTCAATGATGGAGACCCCACTTGACTCTCACTCCCATCACCCATTTCCTGGACTTCTGTGTTCCCCTGTGGCATTTTCAAACCATTCGTGAGAGGCCTCCAAGGCACTGTGGAGGGAGCAAGTGACTTGCTGTCCTCCGGACTCTGTCCTCAGAATACACCGGCATTGACTTTCCATCCCTTGGCCACACCCCACACATTCTTACAGACAGAGCCACCACATGCAGTGATGGGGAAAGTCTGCACAACAGAGACCCAAGAGAGCTACAAATGACTCAGAAAACCCAGGAAAGCAGTTTAGGCCTAATGATGGCATTAAACCATGTGTTTTTCAACCCAAGGATGTTAAGTCCACCGAAAGATCAACACTCTTGTTCACATTAATTATTTTTTTCATTGCCATGACAAAACATTTGTCAAGAACGAACTCAAGGAAGGAAGGGTCTCTTTTGGCTCACAATCTGAAGCCATAGCATGGGGGAAGGAATGTGAGGTGGCTGGTCACATTGTGTTAGCAGTCAGGAAGCAGAGAGACAAATGTCCACGCTAGTCTATTTTCTCCCTGTTATTCAGTGCGGGACCCTACCCCAAACTGTGATGCTGTTCACGTTCAAGGTAGGACTTCTCTCCTTCATTAAACTGTCTTGCAATCTCCCTCACAGACATGCATAGAGATTTGTCTCATCGGTGACCCTAGACCTTGTCAAGTGAGCAACATAGTATAACCATCACCACTAAACATTGTTCAACCAACCTGTTATTTTTTAAATGTTCATAGGCTTCCGTCATTTTTTTTTTGACTCAGGGAATGAGTAAAATGATATAATCTAGTATATCTACTGATGTCATTTTAAATACTTTTTCATTTTTAGACGTTGGTGGTAAGGATAAACTGGGCCTCAAGCAGTATCCAGAGAAGAACAAATGCACAGGTTGGCTCTCTAACCTGGGTGATTTGCTAAGTATAAGCCACAGAGGAACAACCCACAAGTTCTGGTAGGTGCTCAGTGATTAGAGACCGCAAGACCTGCTCAGCTGTCAGCTAATGCTTGAGCTTCATACAATACAAAGAATGAAACAAAACAGATGTTGTGATCAAGCCTCATATCCCCCCCCCCATGTGAAACTATAGAAACGGATGCTCAGAGAGCCTAGGGAATAACTTTCAGGCCAGAGAACTAAGAAATGACAGAGGTGGGATTTACACCCAATAGTCAGACAAAACCAGTCACAAGTGCCAAGCAGTTTCGCAACCCAGAATTCAACAGATGCATCAGTGACAAGTCCCATCACATCGGCCCCCAGGTAAGAGAGCAATGATATTTGGTACCTGGACTGATCCATGGCAATCATTATTTCTGGAGGATCTAAGCCAAGTGTCTTGAGCAAACCAACCTCTTTTCTCAAAGCACAGGACAGCAAGCCCTGAAATGGACCAATGTGAAGTTGTCCTGGCAGGACAAGTAACAGAAATATGGCTGCTGTCTTTGCCCCTACCTTAGCAGGCCCCGGAGAGCTACTGAACACCTGCAGAATCTTTCGTTCTATGGTGACCTTTCAGTCCAAGCATGGGGGTGCTGATCCATAAAGGGGAAATGACTTTTTTAATTTTTTTTTTGATTTTTTCAAGACAGGGTTTCTCTGTAGCTTTTGGAGCCTGTCCTGGAACTTGCTCTGTAGACTAGGCTGGCCTCGAACTCACAGATCTGCTTGCCTCTGCCTCCTGAGTGTTGGGATTAAAGGCATGCACCACCACCGCCCAGCAGAAATAACTTTCTTAAAAACAAGGAATCACAGAAGCAATGAGAGTCATAATGACCACTGCCCACCTTCTCTACCCCCAAATCCAACTCAGTCCCCAGTGCTGGTGACTAAGGAGTCATTGGTTATACTGTTCTGTCCATAAACACCAGCAAGAAGAGCCAAACATACTTGGACCAGGGATGCCTTATCCACAGGGATTCCTAGCAGTGGGCTCTTTAGCAAACTGCAGAAATGGATCCAAGCTTAATCACCTTCCACGTATTTTATACCTGCTGTGTCTTATATGTTTAACTTATAGACTGTTTTCTGAAGACTCAGAGACATAGTGTCTCATTTAATTCTGGAAGCTTTCCGTGTTTTCTTGCAAGTGTTTTCTATTATGTATTTTTTGCATTGTGTATACATACGTGCACAGACATAAATTCATATTCATCGGTATTCATCTGTGGCCGGCTCATAAATTCCAAAATAACAATACATATGAACTATGTACGAATTCCCAAGAGCAAGCGTGGGTCACAGTGAGAAATTTGCCAAATCACCAGGAAGTCAATTCAGTGTGGCAAGGACTTCTTGGCGCATGCCCTGGGCCAGACGTGATGCTACCATATGCCAGCTGGGCACCCATATGCCCACTCAGCTTCAGCGCCCTCTTCCATCCTCATGGGTCTGACTCAAGCCAGCTCTTGGTCGAACTGGAACTCCACTGAGGGGGTTGAGCAGTGGACGGCTACTTGCAAGCCAGTCCTTTGCCGTCCCTGCCTCTGTTCCCTCCCCAGGGGTGCTCTCTACTCTGATTCCAGCCTTGCTCTTTCTCTCCAGCTTCTTCACCATGGAAACTGACCACTCTCTGGACCATTCCTGGAGACTCCCACACTGCAGGATCTCTGGCTTTCCCTCCTGCGCAACAGCTTGTCTCCTTTCTTCGGGGATGAAGTGTTCTGACTCTTACTCTGACCCTTTCCATTCAAGGCAGCAGCTGCTGGCCACCCTAATCCCATATGAGGACAAATGATGGACAGAATATTCTAGATTGGATGTGGCAGTGATAGATTGAACACACACGTATGTGTATTCCATGCCCATATGCACCCATATACACAAGCCTGCGTTTAAACAGATAAATAAATAGGGGAGGTAACTCAAGTATGAACTTAGAGAGGGACCCATGAAGCACATGGGGACCCAGAGAGTATCCAGGGAAATCTAGACAGACACAACTTAGGAAACAGAACTAAAGCAAAGGGCTTACTCCAGAACATCATGACTTTATTCTCTCCTTGGAGGATTAAAGGATAATACGCCCACCATGTAGAGGTTAGTCTTGCTCTCCCTACCTGATATCAGCCTGGTCTCAGAGCGTTGACTCAGTGGCCACAGCTGGGAAAAGCTGGGGGAGGCAGAAGCATGGCTGGAATGTTGGGCTGGGGGCTGCCATGACAAAAGTCTCTTGTCTGAATCCCACTTCTCCAGGAGAACTGTATGCACATGGATGACTGCCAACCAGAGAGAGACCCACGGTCCACTCTGAAGCCATCAAAAATCCACATAAGGGCCACAGAGGGCTAACGACCAGTTCACATGGGAGGCCCCAGAGTCAAATCACCAAAAATAAAGACAGACAAAAAGAAAGAAAGAAACCATCCTGTCGTCTTAGTTGCAAAGGGTGAAGTCAGAGAAGCAGGAACATAGGGAGTGAGTGACTTGCATGACTTTCGGGTCAGGCTTGAGACAGCAGCTCAACAATGAAAGCCCAGGCTAGACCCTCATGGAAAAGCTGGCGTTGAGGCATTCCCACTCCCACCAGATGGAGACTGTTTCTGAGACCTTCTGCGTTTTCTGTCCTAGCATCATCTATAGCCATGACACACAAGCCCATGCTTCCAAAGTGTCCCGATGCCTTTTAATTATCTTAATGTGCAAGTCAAGCCCTAAGTCAGATGTTTCGGTTAGACACTGACTTCTCTCTATTCCTCTGCCACCTTCTGTTTAAGGCTCTTCTGCCATGCATCCAGGGTAACCCTCAACATCTTTTACCTTTCTGCCAATCTAACATTCTTCAATTTTTCCCTCTACCATAGTCATAGAAATTCGGCCTATACATTCTAGCTTACCCACTCTGAGAGGTCACATAGACTAGCCAATAAAATCCAACTCTGGACAGTTCCACCTCTGATCCCGTGCCCAACAACTGCCACGGGGGCCTTCTGACCACATTGTGGTAACCAACCCTGCTGCTTCCTCAGGCTCTGGTCCTGGTCTATGCCACCTCTAGTCTCATAAAGTCCCTTCAGACTGAGAACCTGTCTTGAACACCTGTACCATAATGCCCTAGGTGCTACACACCATAGTTACTCTACTCAGCTCCTCTGACCCTGGCCCCAGTAAGAGACCCTACCTTCCCTGGGACCCCTGCCTCAGCAGCCTTGGCATCACACTCCTGAGGCTACCCTCAAGCCACCCAATCTATCATCCTCACCTCATGATCCCAGCCTGGCAGCCTAAAATTTATACCAATAGGAAACCAGCATGCTAAAATCCACATGGTGAAAATACAAACCATATGATAAACCAAAACAGCATGACCCCTCTTCTCCATCACCAGTCCTATAATAACATTCCCTCGGGAAACAACTTAGATGAAATTCAAGACACAGAATTCAAAAGAACAATTACAAGTGTGTTCAATAAGTTTAAAGCATTCAGACAAGACACAACTAAATACCTGAATGAATATAAAGAGAATAGAGACAAAATAACTGAAATACAAGAAAAACAAATGGATAAAAGAAATTGTAAGGACAATGCAGGATATGAAAGTTGAATTCAATAAAGAGATAGAAACACTAAAGAAACCCCAAAGTGAAATGAACAGGAAATGAAAACTCAATAATCCTAATAAAAGTTCAGTGGAAAAGCCTCACCAACAGAATGAATCATGTCAAAAACACAGGGATGGAAGACAAAGTAGAAAAACTGAATCATTCAATAAGAACACATGACTGGAACGCACAAAAACTTTATGACACCTTAAAAAAAACAAATACATTTTTGGGCAGAGAAGGGGAGAATTCCTGTACAAAGGCATAGTTAATACTGTCAATAAAACCACAGAAAATTACCAAACCTGGAGAAAGAGACACTCATCCAGGTAGAAGAGGCCCACAGAATACAAAATAGGCAAGACCGGAGGAGGGGGAACTCCCCATGACATATGATAGTTAAAATGGTAACTAACAAACCTTCAGAGGTACTAATGACCTTGCATTTACAATGGTTAACTGAGAAACCCATATGGGTTAAACAATGGCCTTTAACGAAAGACAAACTGCAAGCTTTAGAATAGGTGGTACAGGAGTAATTAGATGCTCACCATATTGAAGAATCAACCGGCCCTTGGATTCTCCTGTATTTGTTGTTAAAAAGAAATCTGGAAAATGGAGAATGGTGACAGATATAAGAGCTGTCAACAAGGTTATCCAACCTATGGGCCCTCTACAATCTGGAATTCTTCTGCCTTCTCTATTACCAAAAAGATAACCTCTTATAGTAATTGATTTGAAAGATTGTTTCTTCACTATACCTTTACAAGAAAAGGATGGAGAAAAAATTAACTTCATAGTGCCTACTTATAATAATTCTCCGCCTACTAGGAGATACCAATGGACTATCCTCCCATCAGGAATACTCAGTAGTCCTACCCTGTGTGCCAATACTTTGTAAGTCAGCCATTAGAAATAATACGTAAGCAATTTCCTAAGTCTATAATTTACCACTACGTGGATGACATTTTGCTATCTGATTAAAATGCATATACTTTAGAAGGAATGTTTGAAGAAGAAAGTTTTGCCTAAATGGGGATTACAAATTGCTCCTGAAAAAACACAATGAGGAGATTCTATCAATTACCTCAGTTACTCAATAGGTTAACAGAAAATTAGAACACAAAAGGCACAAATTAGGAGAGACCAATTGCAGACTCTTATGACTTTCAAAAATTGTTAGGAGGTATTTCCAGTCTATGACCAGCTGTTGGAATAACACCTGCCCTACTAGTTCATTAAAAAAAAAATCTTATATGGTAACAAAGACCTTAATAGTCCCAGAGAATTAACAGCTGAAGTGGAAAAAGAACTGATGGTTGTTGAAGAGAAATTACAGGAGGCACATGTACATAGAGTTAATCCAAATCTTAATTGTATTCTAGTCAAATTGTCTTCCAGATTTCCCTGAGAGAAATTTTAATGCAGAGGGAAGATATTATCTTAGAATGGATCTTTTCACCACACAAATCAAGTAAAAAGTAAAAAACTTATATGGAAAAAGTCTCTGAATTAATTATAAAAGGAAAATTGAGACTTCATCAACTAGCAGGTATAAACCCAGCAGAGATTTATGGTTCCTTTTACTGCTGATGAAATTAAAAAATTATGGGAAGACAATGAACCATGGCAAAGAGCTTGTGCTAAATTTTTAGGAGAGATTAATAGCAGTTATCCCAAAAGTGATAGACTTAACCTTCTAAAGAGAACTACTTGGACTCTTCCCCGAATTGTACGTGACTCACCAATAACTGGAGCTCATACATTTTATACTGATGCAAATAAATCAGGAAAGGCCGGTTACAAATCAGAAGAATTAAGTAAGGTGGAACAACCTTATAATTATGTCCAAAAGACAGAATTATATGCCACTCTCCTGGTACTAAGTGATTTTAAAGAACCTCTCAATACAGTTACTGATTCACAATATGCAGAAGGAGTTGTCTTGTATATTGAAACTGCTGAATTTATACCAGATGATACAGAATTGACTTCATTATTCATACAAGTTCAAGATACAGTCAGGAATAGGCTTTGTCCCATATACATAACACACATCCAATCCCACATGGGTCTGCCAGTTCCTCTAGCACAAGGTAATGCAGAAACTGATCAATTATTGGTTGAAAGTGTGCTGAGGGTCTCAGAATTTCATAAGAAACATCATGTCAATAGCAGAGGTTTAAAGAAAGAATTTTCTATTACATGGTAATAAGCTAAGGAGATTATAAAGAGATGTCATACCTGCTCTTTCTATAACCAAACACTGTTACCTGCAGGGAGCAACCCAAAGGGTACTCAAAGGAATGAAACCTGGCAGATGGTTGTGTTTCGCTTTACAGAATTTGGAAAATTAAAATATGTACACCACACCATTGACATTTATTCAAGTTTTTAATGAGCTCAGAAAAGGCTGATTCAGTAATCATGCATTTATTAGAAGTTATGGCCATCATGGGCCTGCACAAATAAAGACAGACAATGGTCCAACATATGTGTCTCAGAAAATAAAGCAATTTTTGCTTATTATAATATAATGCATATTGCAGGTATTCCAAACAATCCTACAGGTCAGGCAGTTACAGAAAGATCAAACTGAACTATAACAGATATGCTAAACAAACAGAAAAGGATGGAAAATACCCCCAGAAATAGATTGCATAAAGCTTTATTAACCTTGAATTTTCTTAACGCTAATGAGAAAAGAACAACAGCAGCAGAGAGACATTGCATAATAGAAAAAACTTCTGAATTAAATCAGCCGGTGTATTTCAAGGATGTGCTGAACTCACAATGGAAACCATGAGATATGCTACGTTGGGGAAGGGGTTTTACTCTTGTTTCCACAGGAGAAGAAAAGCTGTTTATACCAACAAAATTAATAAAGATTCAATTGAAAGAGAAAAACCTCTTGAGAAAGCAGGGGTGACAATCATACAGGGAGTAAGTAAATCTCATAAGGGTTGGGGCAGGGTTCTATTCTTGTCTTTGCAAAAAAAAAATACTCATCTTCAAAGAGTCAAAAAACCTTGGGCATCTAGATGCCTAAAGATGAAAACATAGCTATCCAGAAAGAATCAACAAGCAGAAAGAAAACAGACTTACGATGCTGTGTAATCTGCATGGTAAAATTTGATTATCTTCACATGTATACATCTCTAATTAAAAAAATCAGAGCTGGCTTTGGAGATGGCTGATAGCTCTATCTTTCTCTAAATGCAAGCATGTTGTTAAAAGAAAAATTTAGAATTTCTGTCTCATGTCAGGAGCCATCTGGTAAGGGACAGAAAGATTTTAAGAAAATATTTTACTTTCCTTCATGCCCATTTTGTCCATATTGCATCTTTTGTTGAATATATGTCTATATGAATGATGTTTAAGTTTTCAGCAATGAACAGTAGATTTTCCTGAAGCAATCTTTAAAGCTTCCAGGAAGAAGATGAGGCCCCACAACAACAGCTCCATCTCGTTGGCATGATGTCATGATGTCAATAGTGCAACTAGGAGACTGGTTTTTGAGTACCAGCTGTGGAAATGGTGTACCTTCTTTCAACATTCTGGTCTGAACTCCAAATAAGAACTTCAAAAAAGGCAAAAACAAAAACCCTAGCAACTACTCAGAGATCATTTGTAATTATACAAAACAGCAGTTTTGAAATTTAACCATCATTTTACTTTTACAGGATCCCATAGAAAAAAACATCGCCGCCATGACAGCAGAAAACAATTCTAGAAGATGACGCCCCTCTCACAACAAAGTTTTTTCTCATGGTGAGTGACCCCATTAGGAGTTGATAATTACTCGCATAGGGCTGGGGGTTGGGTTGGAAATTATGTAGGCCTAGAGATCTCAAAAAAAGGGGGGGGGAGAAACTGAATGGGATAATAGGTAGATTATTCAAACAAACCAAAAGGCAGAGAAAGAACATCCAAATTAACAAAATCAAAAATGAAAAGGGGAACATAACAACAGACACAGAGGAAATCCAGAGAATCATTAGTTCATATTTTGAAAACCTGTACTCCACAAAATTGGAAAACATAAAGGAAATGGACAATTTCCTGGATAAATATCACTTACTTACCAAAATTAAATTAAGACCAGATAAGCAAATTAAATAGACCTATAATTTCTGAAGAAATAGAAACAGTCATCAAAAGTCTCCCAAACAAGAACACAAACAAAAAAAGGCAGGACCAGATGGTTTCAGTACAGAATTCTACAAGATTTTCAAAGAAGAACTAATACCAATGCTCCTCAAATTGTTCCACACAATAGAAACAGAAGGAACACTGCCAAACTCTTTTTGTGAGGCTACAATTTCCCTGCTACCCAAACCACACAATGACATTACTAAGAAAGAGAAATAAAGACCAATCTCACTCATAAACATTGATACAAAAATACTCAATAAAATACTGGCAAACCAAATCCAAAAACACATCAGAAAAGTCATCCACCATGACCAAAGCAGGCTTCATCTCAGAGATGCAGGATTGCTTCAACATACAAAAATCTGCCAATGTAATCCACCATATAAACAAATGAGGGGGAAAACCCCACATGATCTTCTTATTAGATGCTGAAAACGCCTTTGACAAATTCCAATATCCCTTCATGATAAAGGTATTGGAGAAAGTAGGGATACAAGGAACACACCTAAATATAATAAAGGAAATATACAGCAATCCAACAGCCAACATCAAACTAAATAGAGAGAAACTCAAAGCGATTCCACTGAAATCAGGAACAAGACAAGGTTGTTCACTCTCTCCATATCTATTCAACATAGTACTTGAGGTTCTAGCTAAAGCAATAAGACAACAAAAGAAGATCAAGGGGATATAAATTGGAAAAGAAAAAGTCAAATTTTCACTATTTGATGATGATATGATAGTTTAACATAAGCAACTCCAAAAATTCTACCAAGGGGTTTCAACAACTTATAAACACCTTCAGTAATGTAGCTGGATACAAGAATAACTCGAAAAAAACAGTAGCCTTCCTTTATACAGATGATAAATGGGCTGAGAAACATCACCCTTCACAATAGCCACAAATGACATAAAACATCTTGTAGTAACTCTAACCAAACAAGTGAAAGACCAGTATAACAAGAACTTTAAATCTTTGAAGAAAGAAATTGAAGAAGATACCAGAAAATGGAACGATCTCCCATGCTCTTGGGTAAGCAGAATTAGCATAGTAAAAATGGCAATCTTACCAAAAGCAATATACATATTTAAAGCAATGCCTAGCAAAATCCCAGCAAAATTCTTCACAGAGCTCTATAGAACAATACTCAACTTCATATGGAAAAGCAAAAAACCCAGGACAGCCAAAACAACCCTGTGCAATAAAAAAACTTCTGGAGATATCACAATCCCTGACTTTAAACTCTGCTACAGAGCTACAGTACTGAAAGCAGCCTGATACTGGCATAAAAACAGACAGGAGGGCCAATGGAACCAAATTGAAGACCCAGATATAAATCCATACACCTACGAACACCTGATTTTTGGCAAAAAAAAAAAAGCAAAAAATATAAAATGAAAAAAGATAAGATCTTCTAAGTAAATTGGGTGCATGGGGATCATGGGAGAGGGTAGAAAGGGAGGGGAGAGGAAGGGAGGGGAGCTGAGAAAAATATATCGCTCAATAAAAACAATTTAATTAATTAATTAACATATGACCCAGACACATTGCTCCTGGGCATGTCCCCAAAGGACTGTGGTTTATAATACAAAAATACCTCCATATCCATGTCCATCATTGTGCTCTTCCCAATATCTAGGGAACAAAAGCTGACTTGATGTCCACCAGCTTATGAATGAATAATGAAATCTATAGATACACACGTGTGAATTTTATTCAGCTGTAAAGAAAAATGAAATTGTGAAATTTGCAACCAAACAGAAGAAGCCGAAATAATTTGTACAGAGTGACCCAGAAGGACAAATGCCGCACGCTCTCGCTCGTATCAAGATCCTAAGATCCTAGCTTTGACTCTTCTGTGGTTTGTTTAACATGGAACACCTGTGGATGGGACCTGGAAAACAAGGGAGGGGCCTTTAGGGGTGAGGATTGCCCTGCAGGAGGAGGGAGAACAGAACAGGGAAGATGGGAAAACAAGGAGTGGAAAGATTGCAAGGGGGAAGGCGGAGGGGTTGGAGAGATGAGGATGTTTGGGGACAATTAATGGAAATGAAAGATATAAAAATGCCATACAGAAATCTGCTCTTTTATAACCCAAGTTAAAAAAAAAATAAAAGTGAAGGGAATCACCTCATGTGGCTAGATATGGCTGCTCCTAGAAGTGGGTTGCTAAGCAAAGACACCTGACCCTTGGTCAGGAAGACTCCAAAGGCCCCAAAGACAACGTGTTTTGTCACTTTTCCTGGTTACCCACCAGAACTAGAGGATAAGGACATATTGCTGAAGACACCACACACCTTGGTTGTAAGATACAGAGAAAGCAAGCTAGAACTGAGCTGCGAAGTTCCCGCTAGCTCTCTTTCAAAGTGCTAGAAGACGTTCTGCAGGTTCCTAACGGAGAAAGGGTGTCAGTGGTCTTACCCAGCTGTGAGCCTTACCAACCAAAATAAACTGAACTGCCAAGTAAAATTGACTCACCTGTACAATAGGAGCACAGATGTTGAGGTAGCTAACATTCTATAACTAAATCTGAGCCCTGCTCCTCAGGAGGGAACCCATGTCTGATACTGCAATCCTTGTTAATAACCAATGTCCAGGGAGGCCATAGGCCCAAGTGGGGACTTTGCTATTGCTGTTTAAATAAACCGACACAGCCTCAAACTGCCTTCTATATCTCAATATTTATACTCGTATTCAAAAGCTATCCTCAGCTTAGAAAAGGCTCTCTTTGCAGTGAACAGCAGTGAATCCAGAGACTCATGGCCGCCCAAGAGAGTGAGAAAAAGTGATGGTTGAGGACTCAGCTCCAAATGAGGTATTGCGTAATCCCCTAAGACTCAGGGACCAGTGCACAAGAGAAGGCACAGAGCAGGTCTCCAGACGGCAGATGAAAGACAGCAAAATGGCATCCTCTCAGCTCATGCAACCAATGCAATCATTAACTCCCACTGGCTTCAGTTGCTTTCACTGGGGCTCGCCCTGTCAACAGTCAATCATAGAAAGGGAGAGGCTTATAGGTCACTTACTGACGAGTAGTTAGCTATTGATAGATTCTAGAAGAAGGAGGTGCCATTGTCATCCATGTATATCTATTGCTTTGCCCACCCAGCTCCAAAGTCATGCTCACACAGACAATCCTGGTTGAACTCGGTGGGTCACAAACTAAATTAATTAACATGAACACGTGAAAAAGGATTTGTAGGGAAGATGGGCTAGACAGGGCTAGCAGAGCGATGGGAGAAGGTGGGGGTGAGAGCAGTCAGCATGCAGTAAATTCACGTGTGAAGTGGTCAAAGAACAAATTTAACTTTCAGGACATCCAAACTTGCCTGACAGATCCAAGGCCACCGCCTTTAGCAAGTCCCTGTAGCAGCCACAATCCATATCCAGGCTCTTGCCATGCTGCCTCTGGACTCATTGCTCCCAGCTCGCTGTCCTCCGTCCTGCACGCTTCTGTGACCTGCCTCTGCCTGCACTTTTCCTCACTCAGGGATTGCTACCCTGAAACCGCCTTTCATTGCCCCCACACACACACCAGGGTGATCATGCCCCTTTCCCATGCTGTGTAAGGCTCTGCATATTCCTGGTGCCATGCTTTTCCTATCCACCTGCATGTCCTGCGTCTCCTCTGGACTGTGAAGACACGGAGAGCAAGACCACTGCCCTAGACTTCACGTCTCCTTAAACAACACAGTGTCTGATATACAGCAGGAATCCAAGTGTTTCTGCGCTAATATAGTGTCATGATTGAGTGGCTGAATTCTAGTTACTAAGATGCTAATGACAGGGAGACTATCCCAGAGGAGAAGGACCATGGTGACTTTGATTTGGACAGAGTTCAGGACATCTGCGAGCCATAGAGAACAGAGATACCCAGTGTGTGCGCAGACGCAGGAACTGGACATGAGGAGAGAGACCTGAACTAGGACTAGGAAGTTAGCATATCGATCATAGCCAGGCATGGTGATATATGCCTTTAATTGGGAGGCAGAGGCAGGTGGATCTCTGTCAATTCAAGGAGTTTGAGGCCAGCTTGATCTACATAGTGATTTCCAGGACAGTCAGAGCTATGTAACAGAGAGAACCTGTCTCAAAAAGCAATATATGTTAATATATATATATATATATAGTAGGAGTAGTAATGGACCTTAGAAATGCCAGCACTCAATGGGCCACAATAAAAGAAGCAATATAGTATCTGGCCAGAGGAAAAAGTGTGGTGAGGTCGTGGACATCCCAGTACTTGGGAGGTGGAGCAGGAGGACCAGGAATTCTGGAGGACCGGCCTCAGTTACATAGCAAGCTTGAGGTAAGCCCAGGCTACCTCATGAGACTGTACCTCAGAACAAAGAAAAAGAAAATTAAAAGCTCCAATACAGAAACTAATAAAAGGGAGAGTCCATTATGCATGTTAAGTTTTCATGCTTTATTTGAAATAGAAGAAGAAAGGGAGTGAGGGAAGAAGGGGGAGGAAGGAAGGGAGGGAGGAGAAAGAGAGAAGGAGAGAGAGAGAGAGAAGAGGAAAAAGAAAGAGAAAAAGAAAATAAACTTCAAGAACCAAGAACCTTTGGCAAAAATAAATGCCTTTGGCCTCCTGACTACTTTGGCAGAAAAACTAGCTTTCAGCAGCCTGTTGAATTAAATGGGTTCCGTTCCTAAGGATCTAAGGAGAAATGTTTTGGGGTGCGCAGAGGACATAGCAAATTGGTAAATCTGTTTGGTGACTTCACCCATGTCCCCAACCTAGTGCTAATTTGTACAGCCCAGAGTCCATTTCCCATCATTCAGAATTGCTGTGTATTTGAACAGAAATATAATCCATGTGTTCATGATTCACTCGCTCTTTATGTAACCAAATGTTGGGCTGTAGCTGTCTGATGTCCAGGAGGCCATCTGAACACTCTTTGCAGCCAGGGTCAAAGACTGCCAAGGAAATTAGGAGGGGAGAAATCTTGGCCGGCCTCCTCCAAAATCAGAGGCAGCCAGTCAGCAGGGAGACGAGAAATCCATTCTCCCAGCCACGTTCTCACCCTCAGATTCCAGATACTGGAGATACACTAAACGAGCCACGCCAACAAACAGGCGATGCCAGGAAGCCCACTGTCATTTATCTAACCCGTCATCATGTACATGATGTCCAATTTGGATCCTATAAAGAGAGCTTTCTTGGTAACTTTTTGCTTATCACATCCTAAGGATAAACCTGCTAACACCGAACTGGATCAAAGGGGAGAAACAAGATGTTATGATACATTTCAGAGAAGAAATATGCTGTTTTCCTCCCCAGAGGGAAGAGTGGGCTTGTCTTTCCCACAAAGCATTCCAAAGCGTGGCGCACAAGCGGTAAGTCAATCCAATGGAATAGTATGAGGTTATTAAAATGATCTTCTCATGCCGGGTGGTTGTGGCACATGCCTTTAATTCCAGCACTTGGGAGGCGGAAGCCAGGTGCATCTCTGTGAGTTCAAGGCCAGCCTGGTCTACAGAATGAGTTCCAGGATAGCCAAGGATACACAGGAAAACCCTGTCTAGAAAAAAATTAAATACTATAGATAGATAGATAGATGGATGGATGGATGGATGGATGGACGGACGGACGGACGGACAGACAGATAGATTGAATTATCTTCTCAGATTATCTTATATAATGTAGCAAAATAGTCACAATTTAAGTAAAAAATTCTATTACTTAATATAAAAAATAATATATAAGTAGAAGCTGATTCTTTCAATTATGACATAGATGTGATATTTATTGTATTAGTCAATCCTTCCAAAGAGGTGACTCAGGAAACCAGGCCGTCCCCACCTTGTGTTTCTGACATCTCAATGTAATTCCAAAGCAGAAAGAAAGCATGGAGAATTTTACTAGGGTGTAGCCATTGGTGAATGGCCCATGCTCCAGTAAATATCCTACCACTCAGGGCTCATGCAAGCAATGCTAATTAAACTCAGTGGTTCGATGAGTGTGGGAAGGGGATGTGGGAGTAATGGTCTACATAAACAAATTATAGATGTGTGAGATTGTCGAAGAATAAGGAAGACAGAGAGGAAAGGTTTCTATGAAAAATATTTATCGGTTCTGCGAAAGTGGCATCATGGACCCAAACACTACTTAAAGATCCCACCACCTCTCAGCACGGCTACACCAGGAATAAAATTCTGTGAAGGACCGCAACCACATACTCCATTACAAGATGGCGCTGGCATCCGGTTTCACCGCCAGATGAACGCACATGTGCTTAGTAACTTCCCACTGCTGTCCCTGACTACTCCCGAGGCATCATCTGGGATAATGGGCAGCGGACCAATCCAAGAGTGACACGTCCGAAGTGAGGACTGTTTCCTTTATAAGGGCTGGGTTCCCCTCATTCTGGGTCTCTGCCATGTAAGCTTATGCTCTCTCTCTCAAGAAGCATTAAAAGCTTTTCTGCAGAAGGATCCTAGTGTCCCACGTGGTTCTTGCGGGCGAGACGGTAGCGCGGGACAAAATTCCACTATGAGGGGCTGGAGCAATGACTCCAGCGTGAAGAGCCTGGTTGCTATTGCAGAGGCCTCAAGTGCAGCTCCCAGGACCCATGTTGGGTAGTTCACATCTGTAACTCCAGCTCCAGGAGACCAGACTCGATCCTTTTGCCTCCAAGAACACCACACTTAAATGCACAAACTTGCACTCAGACATACACACATACACACAATTAGCTTTTAATTAATTAAAACTTTTCAATGTAAGTTTTGTGTGCATAAACCATACTCACCCACCAATCACAAATTGATCCCAGCATTCACTGGCTTCACACTAGACACTGAATATCTACATAAAGTCTGATGTGAGCGCAACAGTGGCTAGCTGGGGCCAGTCAACACCATGAGGCACTGAAAATTGGCAAAGCTTACCTCATTTTTCTCTGTTTTCCACAGGGCCATTGATTTCTTTTTAATCAGAACACTACAAGTCAACAGGTAACAGTTGCTTTGGGAGTATGATCCTTAAATCTGACCCTCTGCAATCTACTTTCTCTGAGTGGACGGACCTCCAGGATCATATGGTGTGCGTGTGCGTGTGCGTGTGCGTGTGTGTGTGTGTGTGTGTGTACATGTACATGTGTGTGTGCATGTGTGTCCTTCTCCTGCTTGAGTGGTCTCCACTCTATGAAACTTACCAGTTCCACTCAAGGGTCCTCCCCAGCCCCAGTCTTCACACTCCTTTTGGTTCTTTGAAACATTTGGACTTGATAACTTATTTGAGTATATACTTCTTTGCATTTCTGTTTCCATTCTTTTCCTAGATTGGCCAAGTCTCTCACTGCTGGCAGAAGAGAAAAGAGACAAGAGAGAGTCCAGTGAAGCAGGGAAGTAATGGAAACCACTAACCTTAGGACATACATAGAAGTTAAGCTTCTTCGGTCCTGTCGCTGATTTTCTGACACCACGTTTGCCTGACTTGTCAAACCCAGGTCCAGAGAGTCAATTTCATGATGTAGTCAATAAACTAAAGAAAAACTCCTTTGATCTCAGGGGCAGAGAGACTGGAGCCTAGCGCTGGTCCCACCGGGTAATGAGCAGAATAAGGAATTCGTGAAAGAAGGAAAAAAAAAAAAAAACATTGTAATCTATTGATCTTGATGTCCAAGCTGGATTCACCTCTCAGACGCAGTCTCAATGGGATCCTGCCTATGCAGCCTGGCAACAGCCCAGGTAAAGTAAACCCAAGCTCCGGCAAGATTAGAAACAGCCCGAGACTTCCCCAAAGTGGGCTGATCTCCATTTCCGAGACCCGAAAGTTACTGCTTATCGGAGAAGGTTTGGCTGAGCGCTTCCTAGAGGAGGCCCCTGCTACAGGGACAAAGTGGTTTAACCTTGAAGGCAGCCCCAACACCACTGAGGACCAAAGTGAAGCTAGGCCAAATAGGGAACCGTAAGAAAGTATTTACCAGTACCTTGTGGGGCTGCTCTCTGGAAGAAGAGGACCTTGGACTAAGTCGCTGTGGATGGATTCTCTGCTTCAAGGAGAGCTAGGAGGGGAGGGGAGGGGAGCCACAGCAACCCTGTGTGTCTCTCTACCGTGTCAGGTAATATAACAACAAGGAAGGAATTCTGGGATCATGTAAATTGGTTACCTGTACCTGACAGCCTCCTAGGGAACACTTGGAAGGAGGTGGCAAAAGATAATCCTGGTTGCTGTTAATTGCGTTTATGTAAGTCAGTAATTAGAGGCGAGCCAAGGTGTCAAGAGAACGCTGGTAGTGGCTGACTATGTCTCTGTGCCTCCTCCAGAAAGTGTGAGGTATGCCCCTCTACCTCAAGCTACACCAAAGGGGCACCAAAGAAGCACTTAGCAGTGTAACTGGCTTACCTTCTCAGCTTTTGTTTCATGAGGAGACACAGGGCTGGTGCTCACTCCCAGTGGAAAGACTAAAGAGAGAAAGAAAGGAGGGATGATTGAGGTGCCACTTCGGTGGCAAAAAAAGAAAAAAGAAACAAGCAAGAAAATGAAGTAACTGCATTGGGAATTGAGCGGATCAAAGACTCCTTGGCCATTTCCTATAGACCAAACACGCAAGGCCATACTGTCTGGAGCTTAGGTGGTGGGTGGTCTTGGGAAGGTAGGAGACCTGGGTGGGCAGAGCACAGAAGCACAAGGCTGCAAGAAGAGGAAAGGGCAAATGGCTGGACATGACATTCAGTCACTTTTGACAGCAAGCTATAGCAGGCTTCCTTTTGGGCCACCAACCATCTCCCAAAGAAAGACTCTGAGACTTCATATTAGTTATGAATGTTCAGTCTTAGCTTATGCTTGTCCCACGAACTCTCACAAGTTCATTTAAATTGTTCCTCTTCATCTGTGTTTTGCCTGGGGCTTTTTACCTTTCCTTCATTCTGTATGTCCTACCCCTGTGTCTGGCTGGCTAATGACTGCCTGATTGACTGGCCCAGGGCGTCTCGCTCTCTTTCTCCCTTGTTTTCTTCTCCCTCTTCTCTCTCGTTCTCTCTGTTTCTGTCTGTCTTGCTTGCCTAGATTCTTCCCACTACTTTTTCTCTCTACATGCCAGCCCCGCCTACCTCAGGTTTTTATTAGACCAACCAGGTCCCTCAGATAGGTAAGGTAACATATTTTTGCATAAACAAATGCAATATAAACAAATGTAAAATCTTTACACTGGTTAACACAATTAACCAAATGTGATACATTTTTAAACGCAGAACAAACAAATGTAGCACATCTTTGTCAGTTAAAGTGACAGCCCACAACAACAAACGCTCAATTAAGTCCATACAGAAAGGGATGATTCCAAGCAACTCACTCAAACATTCAAAATAGTCAGCTTGGCCATGTGCAAAGACCAGAGAACACAGAGGATAGTCTTCTGCGAAATACCATGATCAGAGAACTTACCGGATATCCTGATCTCTTCTCCTTCCCCCAAGCTCCAACTCCAAAACATCAGAAACCGCAGTGGGTGAGATGTGGGAGCAGATACAGCAGGGGCTGAGACCAAGCTCAAATTCAACACTGAGTTTAGAAAAAAAAAAACTGAGACAGCATCGTATGTCTCCCAGACAGAATTCAATGTCATGATCCTCCTGCACCAGCTACCTAGGAGCTACAATTCCAGTCTAAACATTATATTTTAATTGCTAGAGTAAGTCTATGTTGAAGTGTTTCGGAGCATAAAGTAGTCAAAAGTCACTTTACTGAGGGGACAACCATCTTGGAAATTCATTCCTTGCATGCTCCACCTTGAGCTAAACAGGGAGACAGGCAGGAGAGTAAAAAGATGTACTAGCCAATGAAAAAGAGAGTTGAAGAGAGGTGGATTGTCCATGCCGGGCAGATCCCCATTGGGTCTGCCTCCTGAAAACTCCTGAGACCCTACCCTCCTTGAAGACTTTCTCTTCATCCAACTGTGTAACAAGGAATAAAAAGCAGGAAGCTGACAATCCCCAAGCAGTCCCACAAGTGAGACTTGGAGAAACACATCCACCGCAGGCTGGCACATCCTGCCCCTCAGATTTCACAGTAAGGTAGTGCCAGCTACCCTCAGTGTCTCCTTCTTAGTAAGGTGCTTTTTATTAACGCCTTTCTCCCTTGCTTCTGATCACCTCCCATATAAGGGGTCAAGGTCACTTTCACCTTTTTTCATGCCCCAGCCGGCCTCCAACCTCTCCCATCTGCATCCACTGCCGGCAGCCACTCTCTCCTGCTGGTGCACATACCCTACAATACTGCCCTCCCAGAGGAAGCCAGGGAAGTATGGAAGGATGCAGAACCCAGAGACCTCTTCTGCTACTCTCTCATCCTGCCCTGAAAGAGATCATATCTGAACTCCTTCCTCCCCATCCCTCCAGCCCCCAAGCAAGCCAGGCAAGCTCTGGACCCTGGCAGCTCAGCAAGGGTGGTGCTGCTTCCTGCCCGTCTGTTTGGAAGCACATTCAGGAGACAAGACAGGTGTTTGGCAGATGTTCAACCTTGTTCCCTTCAGCCAACAATAATACACCACAGAGACTACGCAAGGAGGGAAGGGGGAGGGGGTTGCCCAACAGTGAGGACAGCCACTTGAGGCACCATCTCTGTCCCTCTAGAGTGGGGAGAAGGGAGGACGTCCATGCACTGAGCAACTCCGTAGGCTGAGCATTCACGGCATCGCATGCGCAGTGTGGGATTCTGGAGGGACCCTGGGTGGGCCAGTCTGGTACATCAGCTACCCCGGTGAATACACACCCGGGTGCCCAGGAAGCCTGCAGGAGCTGCCGGCATCTCAGTGGCCTAAAATACAGCCCAAGGTCTGCCGCCAGACACACAGGGCAACTCGAATGACTTCTTCACCAGAACTGAGTATTTCCTCAATGTTGATCGGGATAAGTCTCCCGACGACTTCTGACCGTCCCGTTTTAGTGGACAGGCTGCCTCTAAAAACTATCGATCTAAGCCCGAGTTTCTACAGGGAAACTGAGTTTCAAGATACACCCAAACAGCACATATATTCTTTTTTTAAGGATTGGTTAAAGTATTAAAAGATATTTAAATCACAAGGAGGCTATGAATGTAGCTCAGCTCACAGCTGACAAGAGGTCTGGGATTCAACCCCCCAAGCCATAAAACAGGTAGAAAAAGACTTAATTGACAAATATTACAAATATTTTATATAAGATGCACAATGTGACAACTTGAGAGACGCCACTCAGGCTGAACATTAAATGCTTCTAGAATACTCTTTCAGAGGGCTCATCTTTTAAAAACCATATTTATTCTTTCACAGTTTCATACACACATCCTGCATCAGTCCCTCATTTTTTTAGGAGATAAAATAAATATTTAAAGTGATGCTCAGTATCTTTGGCGATCAGGAAAATGAAAATGAGAACATTAAACCCCACCTCACCCTGCCTGGGAATGGCTATTTGAAAAATAAGTTCGTGGGGATGTGGGGTGGAGGAACTTTTCTACTTTATACTCTTCTAGTGAGCATGTCGGCAGCTACTGTGCAAACAACACGGAACTTCCTCCTAAAACAGTGTCACCACCAGAGCCAGAGGAGTCAAGGACACCAGGGGAACACCGCCTAGACAATCAACTAAGCAGAACCCAAAGGGGCTCGCAGAGATTAAAGCAACAAACACAGCCCTATATGGGGCTGAGCTAAGGCCTCTGCGTATATGTGTATACCTTATGGTTGTGTAGCTCGGTGTTTGTACCGGCTGGTTTTGTGCGTCAGCTTGACACACGCTAGAGGAAGGACCCTCAGCTGAGGAAATGCCTTCCAGCTGGATCTCAAGGAGGAAGCGTTTCATCATCTAGTGATCAATGCAGGAGGGCCCAGCCCACGGTGGGTGGTGCCATCCCTGGGCTGCAGGTCCTGGGTTCTGTAACATGGGCTGAGCAAGTCAGGGGAAGCAAGCCAGTAAGCAGCACCCTCCATGACCTCTGCATCAGCTCCTGCCTCCAGGATCCTGCCCTGTTTCAGTTCCTGTGCTGACTTCCTTCAGTGATGAACAGCAATGCTGAGGTGTAAGCCAAATACACCCTTTCCTCCCCAACTTGAGTTTTAGTCATGATGTTTCTTCACAGCCATAGAAACTCTACCATGACAATGTTCTTGTGGGACTCCTAGCAGTGGGAATAGAGGGCTGTCTGACTCTTTCCTCTGCACTTAGGGCCCTTTTCCCACATCCAGCTTGGATAGGACAGTTTGTGCCCAGCCTTATTGCATCCCATTAGTCCATGTTCAGTGAATATCCATGGGAAGCCTGCTTTTTTTTTTTCTTTTTTGGAAGGGAAACAGAAGAGGAGTTGATCTAGGGTAGAGGAGAGGCAACTGTAGTCAGGATGTAATACAAGAGAGAAGAATAAAAGTTAAAATAAGCTTATTTAAGATTTAGAAAAAAACAATATAGCTACCACATGAACAGGACAGTACGCCCTCTAAGGATGCACTGGAAGGAACCAAAGTCAGCATAGAACAGGGACATCTGAACACTGATAGCTATTGCTGCGGTCATCACATGGCCAC